CGGGCAAGAGAGAATTAACTTGTATATTGGCATCATAAATTGTTTTATCTATAAAATAATCATTGGCACTGCTGTATTTCTATATGATCATTACATGATCATTTAGAGATCTATAAGAAAAATCTCTACCATTTCTAAGAAAAATATCAATATTACAATTTCTAAGATGATCATTGCAAAACAATCATTGATATCATTATATACGTTTTTTTTTTAATTGTCCAGAGTTATTTTGTATTTTTTTATTATTCAGGTCATCTAACAACCATGATTCATTTTATAAATATTCTTTTTTTTGTTGTTGTTACAGTAAATCTTCTTGTCATATATTTATACGTTTATATTTATATCTGTAAAACCGTTGAAAAAATTTCTTCTTTTCAAAGCTTCAGATGTTCATTTCCAGAAGAGTTGCAAAGATAAGTTGCATTTTTAATTTTCTTAGCAAACCTTTTAAGGTGGTTTTCCACAATAAAGATTAACTTTTGATTGCAAAGGTTATTGACTTCATTTTTTTACTAAAATTGTGGTCCCATAAACAATTTACAAAAGTTATTAAAAAATTATCCAATTGTCTTGACTATCCAATTATTTAAAACAATTAATGAAAAAACTAGTAATCTTTAGTAATTTTCATAAAATAATTTCCTTTTTTTATTATAAATATCCTTCTCTTATTCGGATCTTTTTTAAATAAGTAAAAAATCAAAAAAAAAAAAGGTCAAAAGTTTAAGCGAGTCCAAAGTTAAAATGTTTCAAAGATTTTTAATCGAGGTAAAATTTTTATGCTCAGAAAATAACAAAAATACAAATTGAAAGAATAAAACTATAAAAACAAACTTACCAAACCCTTCAGGTTTATATTTTTTCTTCATCACTTTGGTCTAAATAACCATTTTTAATTGTTTTTATCTGTTTTCTTGTCTTTTTCATTGTTTTTATTTGTTTCATTTTCTTTTTAATAGTTCTTAGTTGTTTCCTTCTCTTTTTGATTGTTCTTAGTTATTTCCTTCTCTTTTTAATTGTTTTTAGTTCTTTCATTCTATTTTTAATTGTTCTTTGTTGTTTTCTTCTCTTTTTAATTGTTCTTAGTTTTTTCAATCTCTTTTTAACACTGTCGGTCAACTTTTGAAGAGACCACTTTATAGTTTTCTTTTCATTGAGTCTCATGGATGTAACATATCCTGTTAGTTAAAAATTAGTTGGCACAGAGAAGATTTTATGTGAACCGTCATAAAATTCAACAACTTCATAAAATTCAACTCCAGACTCTAAGACCGTTCTACCGAAAAAAAAAATTTTCGGGCGTCTTTAAATAATCTGATTGGCAAGTAAATCATTAGATTTGGTTAACTTTCCTCTGCTATGGAGTGGTGTTTTTGTTCCAACAATCTTATGAAGTCTAGTACCATTTCTCTTCTGAACATGCCAATACATTCCAATTTTGTGATCTTAATATTCAAATTTTGGTAAGGGTCACTATCTATTACATCTTTAAAGGAGGAGATACCACTATCTCCTAAATAGTTATTATAAATCAAGTAATTTTTTTAATTGAGCGATTGAATATCATGATTGCCCCAACAGATTCCATAGCATCTGAAGAACTAGCATTAATAATACATTAATAATGATGATTTGCAAACCATTCTAAATATTCCGAAGTTGCCTTTTTAGTTTTCCAAGAGACACATCCATGGCAAATATTTGAGAGTACTTTAACATCAACACATTTTTTTATTAACGATTGTTGTTACTACTCCAATAAGAGATATCCACAAAATAAACCATTCCATGGTTTATTTTGTGGATATCTCTTATTGGAGTAGTAACAACAATCGTTAATAAAATCCCATACCAGTCTCTCGCTAGGCAACATTTTTTTTTTTAAAGAAAAATCATAAATATTATCAACAGTATTTGATATATTATTTTCAACAACCACAGATTTTTCTTTGTTTTACAAAACAAAGAAAAAGCTGTTGTTGTTTGAAATAATGTATCAAATACTGTTGATGATATTTATCATTTTTCTTTTGACAAAGTAAGTGAATCTGCAGAATTTTTTGGTCATCATTTATGAATATGAAAGATTTGTTAGGATTGTGGGCACTGTTTCAGTTGTCTACCCTTACCATTTTTTGATTGAATATGATAGAGAATTTTATGCTGAATAAGAATCGTATAAAAATATAGACCTAAAAATTTGGGGAAAGTAGTCTAATTAGATGTTGAAGTTTAAAAAATTATACTAAAAACGCTAATATCGCCATCTTTTAAAAAACGTCTTTTAATAGGTTTTTATTTAGAAATCAAATGTTTAGAAAATCTATTTTTTTTATTACGCAACCCGGTTTTAATGTTGTAATTTATTAAAGTTCAGTTAAATATTTTAAGGAGCATATATTTTTAATAATAATACATATGTAAATATAAGATCTTTGAGACAGCTTTTTATATGTTTATACATCGACTGACAAATAAGGATTGGAGCGATTTAATGTACATACATTGACTGAAAAATAGGAATTAGCGCATTTAAATGCATACATCGACTGACAAATAGGGAAAGACGTAAACAAAACTACATGGTTAGGGTCAGGGTTAGGGTTTGGGTCAGAATCAATTAAAAACTAACAGGTTTTGCTTTAAATAGTTTTGCTTTAAAGTGTTAATAAAAACTGAGCTGTATTTAAGTTAACTAAGAAAAAGAATCTTATCTTATTCAAGGAGAAAATTGCAAATATTCGCGTTTTTAGTGTAATTTTTTAAAATTCAACATCAAATTAGAGTGCTTTCCTTAAATTTTCAGGTAAATATTTCTAAACGATTCTTAATCAGCATGAAATTCTCTATCAAAATCAATAATAAAATGGTAGTGATAGGCAACTGAAACAGTACCGGATTGTGAAGATGCTGATTTGTTTTTTATTCTCTTTTGCCATAATTTAAATATAATTTTAAATGTATTTGTAATATAAACAAATATCCAAATAAAATCAACAGCTGTTTATTTTATTTATTTAATAATTTTATTTATTTATAATTTTATATTTTTCAACGCATGACGTAAAGCTGAGCCAAACCAAATCAAGGTTATAATGAAAATAATAACTAATGAAAAAGATATTTGACTAGTTATGTTAAACGGTTACTAGTGAATGTGGTTGCTATAAGGGTTTTTAAGGATGAATTTTTTAATTACCTAAAAATAACAGCTTATTTCTTTTTGTATAAAGTCTGCTTTTAATTCAAATTATCAGAGACTATTCACTAGTGATAAAATGAAAGCTTAAAAAAAAATTGAAAATTTTAATAAAAAATTAGCTTTTATTAGTGGAGGACCACCTTAATACATTCAATTCTAAAAGACCACCATGTTTTTAACATAGTACGCAAAAACTGCCCAATTTTTTTTTTTTTTTACCAACTTTTTGGGCCACTACTAAATATATTATACAACTTTTGAATAACACCGAAAAAAAGTTACAACTTGAATACAAGATTCTGCTGCAAATGCAACTATGCATGATTCAAACTATGATACGCACAAAGAGTAAATATTTCCAATCGATTAATTGGCAAAGTACGAGCTTGAGCATCATTATGTGATCCATTCCAGTTGTATTCATTATTATAACCTTGTGCATGGTAGTCATTTAGAGGAACATAAAACTTTTGTTGCGTTTTAAAAATTAAATATGCAACAAATTTCCCAGTCTTCTTTTTGCAGGTAAAAAATGTACAAAATTTTTCATAATTTTTATGGTTTAGAAAACTGTAAAATGAATGTAGTTAGTTCTATATTGATAAAATCAGGAGTTGTGTCTACATTAAGGCAATAATATTTTGCTATTTTTATTTCCTTTAAAAACACAAGTTCTCAATTAGTCAGCAGAGCATGATACGACTCCATGTTATATGCCGATAAGTAATTTACTTATATACTCTCCCTTTCAATTTGTGACTGTTTTACATTTTTAAAATGTTTTTGTAAATTCTGAAATGCAGTGACTTATAAATTCTAATAATTTTGGAAAATTTCCATTTTTATTTAAAAAAAAAAAGCATCTAAGAACCGTTTTAATAAATTTTAGCATTTCTGTGGTATGTTTACTAATATTTTTTTCCTAAATTTTGTCACTGGATGTTAAAATATTTACGATTGCTGAATTTTTCACGATCAACTATTCTTAAGCTAAAATAAATTTCTCATCACAAAAATCATGAAAAAAAGTGGCAAGGAAAATAAAATAGTTTATTCTTAGATTTGCTCCAAGGTAATCAATCACGACGATAGTTTCTCGTGATTGGTTAGAGCAAATCTTTTTTCCTTATTTTTAAAAGTGAGCTTCATTAATATTTAGGGAATTGTTAACCACGTTTATTTACAGGAAATTTAGTTGAGTGTGGTTCTTGACCTGTTAGAATGACATCTTCTGCGTCTTTTAGTGCCAAATTTAGTTTTAATAATCCAATATCAATGTTAGCAATTGGTAGACAAATGTGCCAAAATATCCTCAGATATTTAAGTGTAAATTTTTACAATTGAAGGGTCTGCTTCAATGTTTTCATTGTCATTAGGGGCGATTCTAGGAATAAAATAAACAAGTGTGGGGGGTCGGCGGGCGAATCCTTAAAAAACATACCTAATAAAACGTTATGTATTTAAAGTATTTCAATTTTTAAAATAAAAAATAGATAAAAATTATGCACTCGAATTTATCTTTTTAAAAAATATCGCATATTTACAGTTTAATAAATATATTACTTATGCCGGTTTCATATATTATATCATTCTTTATACAGTTTAAACTTTTAAAATTTATATTTACAGTTCAATAAAATATTATCTTTAATGTTCAAAATAATCTTAAACAATCTTAAAATTCGTGATTTGATAAAATTAATTTAGAATCATATCATCAGCATAAATATGCATAATTTAACAGAAATAGAAGTCATCATAAACGATCTCTTGTCATCATTTTTCTTCGAACTCCTATATGGTTTTTTAGCACCAGTCATCATTTGTTGACAAGGATGCCTGCTTATTCCTATAAAATAAAGTAAAATAACGTTTCGTATAATTTTTTCCTAGCTGTAAATTTTTAAATAAATTTATTCCAACAACAAAACTTAAAAAGAAATGCTAATAAACTAAATAAATAAACTAAATCTAAAGTTATATAAGTAAATTAAAAGTTTTAAAAAATTATTCAACGACATGATCAAAGATTAATTTTTAACAACTTCTTACCCAACTTCATTTAACAGTGATTTCTTGCGATCTTGAAAAGTAATATTTTGTAAATCACGAAGAAGTGAGGGTGCTCTTAAATTTATCATCTCTAAAATTTGCTCAAGAAGATACTTTTGCCGCTTAAACTCTTTTTCACGTTTCTTGGCGCGGTTTTCAAAAAAAACCTTTAAAAAAAAAAAAGTAAAAATATGAAAAATTAACTCTTTAAAAAGCGATGAACTTGTTAGCAGAATAAATTAACCAAATAAAAGTATACAATTTATCACAGTGACTAAACAGGTAGGACTAAGAAAAGAAACCTTGTACCCAGTATACAGTGTGGTACCCAGAAGTTACTAGAAATAAGGAAGAGTAATGTCTGCTTAAATACTGAGGTTAGAAAAGATTCAAAAAATCAGAAAACTTTTCCAAATACACTATATGAAGAGATCTTACGAAGCTTTTTTAGACTTTTCGCGCCAATACTAAGACTTTTTTTAATTAATAGCCCCTTGCTTCACTCAACATCTATCTAATGCTGATTTGCTAACCTTTCTGTTATTACGGCTAACAAATTAGCAAATAAATGAAAGAAGTTGTTAAGAAGAGATATTAGAGATTTATTAATTAAAGACTAAATATGGTTTTGCTAATAATATTAAAAAAACTAATTAGACCAGTGGTTCCCAACCTTTTCTAACCCGTTCCCCAAATTAAATATCCTAAAATCTTCATGGACCCCTTTGATTTTAAAAATTATTACAAGGTGAACATTTTAATAATGTAACTTTTATTCATAAGGATAATATTTTATTTAAGGTATTTTTGAATAAACTAGACACAAAATCAATATTTATCAATGACACAAAAATTTTTTATCTTAGTTTATGTATGATACAAGAACAGATCAGTGTGAATTCTGACACTGCTTACTAGCAATTAATATCTGAAAATTTGGTTTAGTTTTTGATAGAGCACATCTAATATCTGCATCAATATCAAGTCTATTTCTTTTTTTTGTTTTAAGAGATAGCATTGCTGAAAACCCGGCTTCACACAAATATGATGTTGAAAAAGGAATAAGGGCTTTAAGTGCAATTGATGAACACAATGGATATGAATTCCTCATTTTCAACCAGAAGTTATTTAATGGTGCTACTTTGAAGTGATCCTTAGCCGTGGTATCATTCTTTAACTCTATAAACTCTTCTTGTGCTTCCTCTTTCACATTTTTCACATCACAAGAAAATGGTGATATAATAACTTTACTGCTCAAAAGATTCATATCTGGAAAATAGTTACCAAATTCAGTAATCAAATTATCTAGGTGACAAACTATTTCTGTCTTTATAACTTCAGGAAGCATGTTAACTCCAATTATGTTATTTAAATTTTGAAACATGATCAAGTTTCCATTATTAATTCTAGTCTTGTACAGTTTGAGCTTTTCAATAAATGCCTTCAGTTTATCTGAATGTGTAATAACATTAGCATTTTTGCCTTGAAGTTGCAAATTTAACTTGTTAAAATGACCTACGATGTCCACCTAAGATAAGCAGTTGTTATTTCAAAATTATCAAATTCAAAATATTCTACCAGTCCACTTTTCATTTGACATAAAAATTCTTTCACTTCATTTCTAAGCATGAAAAATCTTTCCAAAAAATTTCCAGCAGATAGCCATCGCACAGAAGTAAAAAACAATAACTTATTGTGTTCAGCATTTAGGTCAGAGCAAAATTTTGTAAAAAGGCGAGTGTTAAGAGCAGAAGACTTTATATAATTGACCAACTTGACTAATTGATTAAATACAGTTTTCAAACTACCTGGTAAAGTTTTGGTTGCCAAAGCCTGTCTATGAATAAAACAGTGTACACCAACTACATTTGGAGCAATCTCTTTCACCCTAGTCTGTAATCCAGACTTACAACCCATCATGGCAGGAGCTCCATCAGTAGTAATTCCAAACAAATATTTCTATTGTAATTGATTGTCATTGAAAAACTGTTTTAAAATTTCCATAATATTAGCTGCTTTTGTTGTTGTTTCAAGGCAAGAAGAAAACAAAAATTCTTCTTTAAATTTGTTATTGTGAATATACCTACAATATACAATTAGTTGTGCCATTGAATTTACACCTGTGGACTCATCCAACTGAATAGAAAAATATGGAGATTCTTTAATTTCATTAATAACATTTTCTTTTATGTTTGATGAAATATCCGTTAGCCTTCGTTTGACTGTAGTATTTGATAAAGATATATTATCTACTTTCTTTGCAGCTTCTTCTCCAAATAATAACAAAAATACACAATTATTGTTCCATGTAAAAAATAAATCTAACGATTTCTTTTGTACATGGAAGTATAACTTCTTCAGCCAATGTGTGAGCTTTTTTGTTCTGTGCTATTATATATGAAACCTTATAGGATGCTTCTACTATATTCTGTTGAGTTTGGTAAATAATCCCAGTTTTATCCAATTTGCATTTCTTCAGTGATTCAAATTTTCTTTTGAAAAAATCAGTATCTTTTGTTTGGAGATCAGGATGGCACTTATTCAAGTGAATAGCAAGCTTTGAAGGTTTCATAGAGTCATTTCCTAGTACTTTATAACAAATAACACACTGTGGGTAGCTAATGGTTTCTTTAAGCATGTAGGTAAATCCATATCTCATGTATTCATCTAAGTATGACCTTTTTTTACTTTTAGACATCTAAAGTATTTAAAAAATAATATAAAAAGCATCTATAGATAAGAGTAGTATAGTATCGAATTTTTATAGAAAATAACACAAATTACGTTCTTTCAAACAAATCAGTAAGGTTATCTTTACCATGAGATAAGATTTTAACATTTTAAATTTACGGATAAAAAATGATATTATATAGCATTTATTACTTCGTAGAGGTCCGCAAGTCCTCGTTGAATTAGTTAACGCAAATTTTGTGTAACAGCTTTCTCGCATAAATTACATTTTTAATTTAAAATTTAATTTGTTTCTTTCAACAGAAAAAAATAATCAAAATTAAGTTTCACTACCAAAAAATATTTAGAATTTACGTTTATCTTGTGGTCTGCTTAAAAGGTTCTTATGGACCCCCAGGGGTCCATGGACCACCGGTTGGGAACCACTGAATTAGACAAAAGGGTTTTAAAATAAGACTATCATTTTTCATCAAACACAAAAACAAGATTCAGTTAAAACGTGTAAATAGTTTAGAAAATATTAAAGAGAATTCGGAAGAGCACTTTAGCTGAAAGAGATATGTTGTCTGGGAAACAAGCTGTCGAAGAATAGATATGTTTCTGGGAAACAAGCTGTCGAAGAATTAGAAATAAAAAAATTAGAAAATATATATATAATTATAAATAAAATCAGAAACTGTTCTAATCAAAATGATTAGAACGCATAGTCGGAATGATTTGAACGAATAAATGTCAGCAAGATAATTCATGAGATCAATTATATTTGATGCAAAAAATTCTTTCTTAGGAAAGGTAATAAGAACCTGTACTAGTGAGGTGGAATGTTAAACCAATAGTCTCTAGAACCTGATTTCTAAAGCAAAATTTAGAGTATGACAATACCTTTCTGCATTGATATCTTGCAATTATAAAAAACGTTTGTTCCTAGAAGAGTTTTTTTATTTAAAAATTAAAAAAATGATTAATTCTTATTTTTTACATTTTCTAAAAAATGACTAAAAATAGCAGCTGCAAAAGAAATAAATAGGGCATAACAAGGTTTGCCTTTAAAACCATCGTGAAAGAATAAAAGCTTTTATGTATACCTAAATTTATAAGGATACATAATACAGTTATCAGCAGTGAGACAAAATAAATCAACCTAAGGGCAATCATAAAAGGAATCCCAGTAACTCTTTTGATATGTAAGTTTATGCCAAGACCAAGCATGCAAATATTGGAGCAAGTAGGTCAGTGAAAGCAAGTAGGATGAAATTACAAAAGGTAAAATTCAACAGATAAAAAGTTACTTCAAAGACAACAAATTTTTTTAAAGGATAGATTAAAACAACTTGGTATTAATGGCTTTTTTTAAATTAACTATTTTGGTATTTTATTAATGCATGTAATAATTAGAGAACTTGACGCGGTAGGTAAATTATGACACCTTTAGTAATCAACAATACAGTTGTCTCATTCATTCAAACAGCAATGAACAAAACAGTCCTCACTCATTCAAACAGCAATAAACTATACAGTTACCTTATTCATTCAAACTTGAATTTTTTTAAATTTTTTATTTTGGTATTTTATTAATGCATATAATTAGAGAATGATTAATAGGTGACTTAATAGGTGAAGTATGACACCTTTAGCAATCAACAATACAGTTGTCTCGTTCCTTCAAACAGCAATGAACTATAGTTGTCTATAAACAATTGTATTGTTGAACAGTTATTATATTTTACTTTTTGTTTATTTTATATCTTAAACAATACAAAAGCAATAAATATTTATCTAAACAATATATACTTTAGACAATAAAAAACAAAACAAAAAATGCATACTTGCATCTCTGATTGTTTCTTAGTAATTTCCTTTATATTTTCTTCTTTCTCTGTCAACTTTTCTTCCCATTCACGTTGACGATTTTTCCAATCCTTAGAAACCAATAATAATCATTTACAACATTTTTTATAAAATTACAACTTATCTATTGAAGAATCTATCGCAGAAGGATTTAAACAGAAGCAATATAAATTGCAATCTATTGAAAATAAAGCGAAAATTTTATAAAAAAAAAATCATAGTTGTGAATTATTTGTTTGCTACAAGGACTCATAAACTAAAAAACTATACAAAAAACTAAGTATTAAAAGTATACATAAACTAAAGAGAATAGAATAGAAAATGCCACCCAACACCCTTTATACATGTTTTATATAGAGGGTGCAAGAAAAAAAAGTGTTACTTTAGATTGTAAGAGTGGTGAAAAATTCAACATGTAGTCTGAAATTTATTTGCTTTAATTTAAAACCTAAAATTTTTCCACCTGATTAAAAAAAATACATTTTTTTTACATGGTAGAAACATTTTAATAATGGGAATCAAGTATACTAATACTCAATCTGAAATCAAATTACAGGTTACAAGTTATGTTTTGAAACTAAATTTTAAACTACATTTGTCACTTTTAAACTAAATTTTGATAACTTGTCAGTCTCAAGCTAATTGATAATTTCTGTGAAATCTTAATGCTTTTAGCAAAAGCCAAAACTTGTAGAAATTCTTTATAACATTTTCTGATAAATAAGGACGTATTCAAAATTTTTTATTTTTTGTTTAACAAGTAATTCTTAATTACCTTATTAAGAAAAGTTCAAAATTCAAATTATTTTTTTTCTATCTTTTTATGATTGATCTTTTTGTTTCTTAGATTATACAGCGATCAAAGTTATAATTAAAAATTTTTCAAATTTTTTTATTGCATGTACAAGTTTTCACTTTAAAATTTGTGCAACTTAAATTTTAATTGAATGAAATTAATTTTAATTGGTTGCACTTCTGAAAAAAAAAAATATTTTAATAATTTATTATTTTTATTTTGTTAGTAAAGGGCTCAACAATTTACAACAATTTACAATTTAATAAATATATAGAATATATAAAAAATTGAATAAGTGAAAAAATTTGTATCAAGTAGTAACAAATTAGTTTTCTATCAGAATAATCAAACTCCTCTAGAGTGTCTTTCAGTACTTGACAAATTTTTAAAAGGTTGAAAAATTTTAAAAGGTGAAGTTTAAAATCTTAAAAAGTTTGGTTTTACTTAAGGATGCTCTTGCAATACTGATGACTCATCAAGTCATCAGTAAATTCTTGTGAGAAGTCATCAGTAAATTCTTGTGAAAAAGTTAGTCAAAAAGTTATTTATTGAACACAATGTAATGCCTATACATCATAGAGCAGGATTGAAAAATCGTGTTTTTCAAAAGGAATGACCTTTGTAACCTAAATTGGAAACTAAAAAAGAAATAAAAACTTTTAGAAGGGGGGAAAAATACCTAACAAATTACCTATAAATATCTATTTAATTTTGAGAAAAGAGATTGTTAGCAGAATTCTAAATTTTTAGTTATAGGAATTAAAAACTTGTGTCATGAAAAGAACGATAGGTTCCTTCCATGACACAAGTTTCAATGGCTATAACAAAAAAGTTATTATTCCACGTGCAATATCTTTACCTGAAACTAAATCGGTCTTTATAGGTAGCATGTTAGGTATTATTGCCCCAATCTAAACGGTTTTTTTAAAATAAATTTCTAATTTAGTTTATAAAGGTCAATCCTTTTGAAAAAAAAGGCTTTTTAATCCTGCCCCATATCAGGCCATTTTAGAACATTTTTCAAGATAAATGTTATATATATATATATATATATATATATATATATATATATATATATATATATATATATATATATATATATATATATATATATATACATATATATATATATATATATATATATATATATATATATATATATATATATATATATATATATATATATATATATATATATATATATATATATATATATATATATTATTATAGCCTTTAATATATGATATAAAAAGAAATATAAACATACTCTAATATCTTTTTCATGATCAGCAGTAACTTGTTGTAAGAGATTTTTTTTATCTGCAAAATATTTTTCAATTTTTAGTCCATTTTCTCGATTGCTCTAATAAAAACACATTTTTGATAAATAAATAATTGATATCAGAGATTTATTTAAACATGAAACATTTGATATCAGATATATTA